CGCCTTCTTTTTGGTGTGTTATTCCCCCGAGGCCATCACCATTATAATCACATATTCGTACTTTTCACCTCCCCCTTCCCAACCCCCTCTTAGTCGCTTTCAGGCCCATTATACGCTTACATTGACTTACCCACCCTCCTCCTAACGCCAAACCCACGTTTCACACCACATAGGTCATCACGGACCGCTCAGAACGTTTCCCTCTTCTCACAAAGCGATATATGCCCATCACTTTTTGCTAATCCAAAAAAACGTACAGCATGGCAAACTCCAATATTGAGCACATCGCAAACACCCCAAACAATAAAAACAAACCCATACCAGGGTTACCTAACTACATCCACTACGACGACTCACCCTTGTATGCCCCTCTTACCATTTAAAACTTTTTAGGCACACCCCACGCACTGTCATAAATCCTTTCATACCCGACCCTTGCTATCATCGCAAAACATGCTGGCTCGATTTAACGACAACCAAAAAAAAACAGCTGGAATCCCCACACCAACCACTCGCCTTCGTGCTGAGACAAGTGCTGGTAACGCAACACATCGCCTATTCCTAGCTTGACCTAAAGTCCGACCAGCCCGTGAGCCTCGACCCCCATTCCACAGCCCCACATATAATATACCCAATCAAGCTATTACTTTTGTGCTTACTACCCCATCGCCGACTCACCTGCGGGTTTAACACCACAAATAGAGACACCCAGCGGCCCGGCCCTCTGGGCATACAAAGCCTTATTGTCATCATAAAACACATATCATGCACGGGCCCCCCTGCGGTTCCCCCACTCACCGCACAATACCCTACATCTTCGTTCCCAAAATGAACCTCCTAGCCTTAGTAAACGCCCTAAGACAACAAAACCCTCCTGCAATCATCTTTCCGCCCTAGACCCCCCGCTTCAATCCCCCACCTTAGATCCCTATCATATGTGCCTAGCCACTTGGATCCGGACCAAGCCTATCCCACAACTCGCTGCTGCAACACTGGTCCCACACCCTTCTTTACATTGTAATATCACCACCCAGCATCCTCACTATCTGCTAGCCCCCCTTCCATAAGCACTTACACCGCAGTATCAACCCGCTTTCCCCATTTCTTACTCTAGCCCAACTACTTCTGGTTCCAACCATCCCTTGCTTCTGCCGCCCGCGCGTCCGTCCCACGGCCGCTTGCTGCGGTGCCACCACGACCGGCGGCACGAACCTCATCGCCCTCCCCGTGGCCGCGATCCGCGCACGTGACCCCTCCAACCTCCTGCCGCTGACCTCAACGTTGCCACTTCCTGCCCTCGCCCCTTCCGAACCGACTATTTCCGGCGGCAGCCGCCGACACACAAGAAAAAGCCCGACACCTAAAACACTCAGCGGATCCGATTTCCCCGCCCTAAAGCCCGAAGATTTACTCCATGCCTTCAACTATAGTAAATACATGACTGACAAAAAAGCCAAGAAGCCCCATCAGTACCTACTCCCGCCCTAGCTAGCCAAACCCACCCAATACACCCACTCTACCTCGCCCGGCCGCCGCTTGCGGCGCCCCACACTGGTCCCGCCGAGACACCGCCAGCCGTATATACCCACCCGCGCTTTTTGGGCGGACCTCCCGCTTCACGCCACTCCCTCTGGCCCGCCCCAAGCCGCCGCCGTCCCTCATCTTTGGCTTGCTAAGGCCGAACATAACCTGATGGACTCCCTACCGCTCCAGCCGCGGTACTGTGCCCTCTCACTGATCATGCTGCCATCCATTTAGCCGATATTACAGCCCCCCTGCCAAAATGCTGACACAATCTCAAAGAAACATCATGACCCGGTGCCTGCTACGTGTATACACCTTCGCACCTAGGCAAAACGCACCGTCACCACCAGACCCAACTGCCCATCATAACGGCCGCTACCATTAGCTTATCACATCCTCAAAAAACAACCCCCCAATACCAAAATCTCCTTGCCAATGCCCACTCCCTAGCTAGCCATTGCCTCCACCACTTTGCCCACTCTCCACCATAACACTAACCTCATGCTTAAGCACTCTAGCACACACGAAAGCACATTTACACCACAAACATTTTGCCAGGCAGTGACACTAAATTGACACGCCCCCGCCATCATCAGCACTCCACTTCTCCCAAAACATACGCAAAACTTTGCCGCTGCTAGACACTCCATTTTTACCCCCTTCGCCCCTCCCCGCTCATCGCGGCTCCAACGGAGCACACCACCCCCCCTATGCCGCTTATTCGCCAACCCTCCTCCCTCATAACCCTCCACTTTCCATGCCCTCACTCTTCCCGCACCACTCCCCTGGACAACAGCAACCCCTTCGGCCTACATTTTCCTCCTGTTCCACTGTCCTCCTTTATTCGGCTTTATCGGCCCTCACTCGCTCCCCCTGTAACCCCTTAGCTGCTGCGCTTACTTTGGTGTAGGCGCCCTCCGGCTGCCTCCCCCTCGGCCCTCTCGCTCCATGCCTCCTGCTTCTGCCCTTGCTCCCCGGTGCCCCACTCCTTGTTTGGGTTCCCCGGAAGTCTACCTCAAATTTAGCCTCTTTTGCCGAGCTTATAGACATAAACTCCCCCCGCCCTCGGTGGGCCGCCTCTGGTCACCTGGCTTCGCGCTGTTCCCATCGCCTCTTGACCTGCGCGCCCTCCCCCCTTCCCTTGCTCGGCTCAGCGCGCCCGGCCCTGGCGGCGCCGGTTCCCCTTGGCGCTCCTCCTACCCCCGCCGGTGGTTGGCCTCTGGTCTGCTTGGTCCTTTTCCCCCCTTTTTTTTTCTCGCACCCTGTGTTCTGGTGCCGGGCTTCCCGCCTCCTTTGTTCCGTCTCCGTCCGCTCTGTGCCCCGGGCATCTCCGTGGCCTTTTCCCATCCTCGCTGGCCATCTTCCGCCTCCCTGGACCCCGCCGTTTTCCCCTGGCCCCCGGGTCCCCCCTGTGTTCCCCTGCTCGGTTGCCATTCCTTTCTCGTCCTCCTTATTGTTTTTTTGTTTGCCCCCTGTTTCTGCTGCCCCTTACCTTGGCTTTGTTGGCCCTCGGAGCCTTTGTCTCTCGTCTGCTCCCCTGCTTCGGCGTCTTCCCCCCACCGCCTTTGGTCCGACGGTCTCACCCCCCTCGCCTTTCCTCCCGCCCCCTCTTTGTGCTGCCTGCCCTTCGGGCCCCCGTCTCCGTCCTCTTTTCCGTACCCTCCTGCTACCTTCCCAACCAACGACACCCCCCCCTTTTTCGTCCCCCCCCCCCACCCAAACCCCCCTTGCCCATTCTTACCCCTGGCCGCTTTTTGGCACTCGTCGGCCCTGTCCGTCTCGGCGGCCCAGTTCTCACGGCTTTGTTCTTGTGGATGGGCTTATCTCTCGGTTCCCTTGGGTTCGCTTCCTTTTCCTACCCCCGTGCCTCCTTTGCGGCCTTCCGCCTTTTTCCCCTTGCTTCCCGCCCCACTCGGCCTGCTGCCTCCTGTCTCTACCCCTGCCTCCTGGCGGCGCCACTTTGCCCCTGGCTCGCTTTGCGCCTTTCTGTCCCGCCCCCGGGACAGCTCCCCCCTTTTACTGCTCACTCGGCCCACCTCCCCCCTAGGCCCCGTTGCCTAGGCCCCCCCCCCCGTTCCTACACCGCCGCCCCGCGCCCTGTTCCCGCTCTCTCTTTCCTCCCTCTTTTTGCGGCTGCGTGCGGTTTCGCCCTAAGCCTGTTCTGTTCTGCCACAAGGGTGCATGTGAGCTCCCTTCACTCCCCCCCCACTCGCGTTCCTCCCCGGTCGCCCCCCTCCCTTTGTCTCCTTTGCCATGTTTTGGCCTGCCCGGTGTTTTCCTTCCTACCCCGGGCCCCCTGCCTTTGGGCCCCTTGCTCCCCCTCCGCTGCCGGCCTTTTGTTGGCTCTTCCGTGTTGGCCCCTCTTCTCGCTCTTCCCCCGCGCCCTTTCGTGCTTGCAAGCACAAACCCCCACCTGTTGTATACAGAATTGCTGTCCTCATGGGCACTTTCGCCCGCCCCCCCTTGTTTGCCGCCGACCTTGCCGCCCCCTCACCCCCGATTGCTCCCTTCCCTTTGGCCGCCCCTGTTGGCCGCCCCTTTTGCCCGCGCCCCCCTCTCCTTTGGCCTCGCGCTTGCCTTTTCTCCCCCTCCCCCCGCGCCTTGCTTCTCCGGCGCCCCTCGTGCGGGTGTTCGCCCTCGGTCCTGGCTTCCCTAAGGCCGATTACTACCCAATCCGCCATTTCTTTTCCCCTCTAGACCCCCCCCCTCAACTTGCTCCGAGCCCTTTCGTGCAATAGAATTATTGGCTCTTGGCACCTGCACGCCGCGTTCATCCCCTTTGTCCGCCCTACCGTTTGGGCCTTCCCCTCCCCGGCCCCCTCCCGTCTGTTGGCCCCCCCGTGGTCTTCCACCCTCCCCATGCAATGCCTAGGCGTCGAATCAATTAAAGCACAATCAAACAAAAAAGAATCCTTCCGTTGCCCCACGGGGTCTCAAAAACTCCCCATTGCCAGGACACTATGAAGTTTTGCGGCAGACACATTAATAGACAACCCTAACAAAAAGCCCGCCTTTCTGTCTCGCACATAGGGTTTCCTGCCTTCTGCCTGTTTTCACCCTTTCCCTGTTTCCCCTGGCTTGTCCCCACAAGTGCCTTTTTGAATGGTATTATTGAAGAAGATGTTTATGTAGAACAACCTCCAGGATTTGAAAATTCAAAATACCCAAATCATGTTTTTAAGTTAAAAAAGGCATTATATGGATTGAAACAGGCACCTAGGGCTTGGTATGAGAGATTGAGCACTTTCCTACTTGAAAGATCTTTTGAGAAAGGGAATGTGGATACAACTCTCTTCTTAAAGAAATTTGG